CTTAGGGCCGCCTATTCGCAGCTTTGTGATCTCTCAATTGCCCGCAAAAAGGCGCTTGATGACTCACAAAAAATGTGGCAATTCTTCTGGGACATGGAAGATGAGAAAGAATGGATAAAAGAACAAAGTCAGTTAATGTCTAGTCCTGATCTCGGCCATGATCTGAGCTCTGTGGAGCGGTTACTACGCAAGCACCGCGCCCTTGAAGAGGAATGCAACGCCCGTCAGGTTTTGTTTGAGGGCGATCTAACAACAGGCAAGAAACTCATAACCGAGAACATATTCGGTAAAGAACAAGTGCAGATAAGGATAAATGAAATGAACCATCTCTGGGCCCAATTGGTCGAGCTCACTGCTGAAAGGAGACAGAGACTCTTGGAATACCAAGAAGTTATGCAATTAATGGCTGATTGTGATGATGCTAGTGCATGGCTATCAGAGCAGCAGCGTATTGTTAGTAACGAAGATGTTGGCACCAAGCTTGCAGCCACAGAGTCTCTTATCAAAAAGCATCAAGAGGTGATGGATTCCCTTGATGGTTATACAGAAACCGTCGGCCAGCTTAGGCAGCAAGCTGGCAAGGTTTCCGATTTTCCAGATGGCGACGCAGTCGCTATCACTAACCGCCTTCATACAGTTGAGGAACACTATGCCCAGGTTCAAGCCTTGGCAAAGCTTCGGGAATCACGTCTTCTGGATGCTAGGTCCATGTACAAACTTTTTGATTCCTCTGACACCGTCCGAACATGGATAACCGAGAAAGAGAAGCTTCTCACCACTCTGGTTCCAAGTGATGAAATCGAAGAATTGGAGGTAATCCGGCATCGTTTCGAGTGTTTCGAGAAGGAAATGGCCAGTAATGCAGAAAAAGTTGGCTCTGTTAACAAGCTTTCCGCTGGACTTCTTTCAACCGACCGTCCAGATGCACCTCTAATTGTATCTCAACAAGACACATTGAATGCAACTTGGAATGATCTTGCCGATCAGGTCGACAAACAAAAAAAACGACTTGACGTTGCTTACAAGTACAATCAATATTTGATTGAATGCAATGAGTCTGCCAACTGGATAAAGGAAAAAGCCAAACTTGTAGAGTCCACTGATGAGTTGGGCAATGACCTCGATGGTATTATGCAGCTTCAGCGGCGACTTGGTAGCCTCCAACATGACCTCCAGGCAATCGAAGCCAAACTGAAAGATATGGATAACCAAGCCGCCGAACTAATTGAAGTAAAACCAGAAAGCGCAGAGGTAAACATGCTCCATCCTTTTTTCGAC